AGAGAGAGAGAGAGAGAAAGTTCAATGGTACGCACCTTGACCGCGAAAACTCAGATCCCAGATCGAAGGCACGCTGTCGCCGCGTTGATCGATGCAGCACGTCTCGCTGGAAGGGTCATCACACTTCCGGTGTGTCGAGGATCCACAAATATTATCCACGAAACGCGCGCGCACGAGTTTCACCGACGTGTATAATTTTTCTTAATCTCGAATTAATACGAAAAACCGGGAAGAGGGAAAACACGTACGAGCGAAACTGAACGAAAAACTGTGTACTAGCGATGGAATGGTGCTGCTCACTGGACGCGCGTGAACCGATCGACACGGTGCTGGTGCGTGCACTGTGACATGTCAGGTGGTGATTTTCGTCTGTCGGGCCGAACTCGACGGGAACTGGTCGCGACTTGAACTGACCGCGCAGCGAGAACCGACGCGGAGGAAGGAAGTCGGGATCGGTGATCGATGACACCGGTATGGATTAGAGCACGGCGTGTGCGTGTGTACGGTTGGCGTGTGTCAGGAAAGGAAGAAGAGTGGATCCAAGCGCGGAGAGAGCGAGCGAGGAACGGCGGGGATCAGGGCAGTGGCTTGGCTCGGATCAGACTGAGCCGAGTCAACCGAAGGATTCAGATGTGCCTTTACCTTGCGCGCCTTCCTTTCCTTTCCTTTACCTTTCCTTCGCCACGCGTTTCATCTCGCTCGCGCGCGCGGACGTCTCGTGCTGTTCACTCTGTTAATCGTGATAGCGTGGACAGTGACGTAGGCTCCGCCACTCGGGACTCTTCCTTCCACCGTTTCCCCTCGGCTCCTCCTTCGTAATCCAACGAAATTGCGGCTCGTCACGCGACCACCGAAACCTTTTCAACGCCGATTGTTGCTTGGTTAAGCTGTTGCGATTATACCGGTCGATCTCGGTGGCGGCCTCGGATTAATGGTACAAATTTTTTAGCAGACCTGTTGCCGGAATCGAATGGTTTGGGAACGAATGATAATTGGCCAGATCAGTGGGGAAAGAATAATTAATGCGATATTTATTGGTAAGAAATATTCGATCGTATAATTTTTAAATTTATCGTAGGTGATTTCATTCGTATTTTCACGTTGCCACCAATTCTTTGTACAGTAATTACTTACGTTTCCGATCAAATTTTAATTCAAAATCACGCGCGTTTGATATAGAGAATTTTTTGTGCATAATTCAAAAATTATGAATAGGTTGAGAATCTTTCAAAATATAAGTAATCAATTCGCAAAATACTGATCATATAATCTTTTATATGATTAAAATATATTAGATCAATAATAAAAAAAAAAAGCTCACATAAATAAAAAATTTATATATCGTCAAAAAAGTTATATAAAAATTACTTTTTTAAGATTTCTCTTTAATAAAAATAAGATATTCTATTAATAAAAAGAATTACAAGTATAATTTTTGATATAACTAAAAATACAATTGAAACCTTTCGTGCCCATATATTATAGAGAAAGGATACGGCACTGCGTGTAAGCACAGCATAGCGAAGAGCGTCTGTCCCTCTCTCAACCGCTACTCACCTTCCTCTGTTGAGGACCTCAGCCTCGTGCCCACCATTCTTCCTAATACTTTGGTACACGACACAGAGAAAGAAGCCATATAAAAAGGTGCTGCTTCATAATGCCCATGCAATCAAGTTGACTTCCTAAAAATAAAAGAAAACGTGCGATACGAATTAAAAGCAAACAAAAAAAAAAAAAGGAAGAGAAAGAGAAGTAAAACAAAAAAGGCTCCCTTTAAATCGTTGAACATTGAACCATTTTTCTGAATGATATATTGCCGCTCTCGTTTCAAAGAGTTTTTTTATTCTCGAATCACGAAAATGGATAGAAAAATCCAAGAATTTATTTGCTATGAAACAGAAAAGTAAATTGATGCGAGAGCGTCCTATTTAAAACAGGTGTTACAAGTGCATGTTTCGCCCAACAACCGTGGCGCTTTCAAACGATACTAGTACTTCTTCCTAAATGTTTATTATGAATTTCGAATACTATTTATTAGAATTATGTATTTATTTATAATGAATGCATCTTATTATTTTTTAAATTCATATTCAACCACTACTTTGAAATCTTTTATATAACAATTGTTTCATTATTTTTACGAAAAAATACCAGATTAAAAGATATTAGTATTTTCTTATTAAAGATTTAAAAACTGCTTGCATCGATAATAAACAAAAAATATCATTAAATTAATAAAAAAATTTTAATGATATTAAATCTTTTACTGTTACTGAACTTATAAAAGAACAAATACTGAAGTATACTATGTTAATGTTAATGTCTTATATTTTATAATATTTTTATTAAAAAGTAAAAATATCTACATACATTTTCTACATTAAAGATTGAAAAACATTGTAATTTTGAAAGAAAAACAATGAAAATATTCATCAATATCCCATAACTCATTTACAATTACCGATTAAAAGAAGAGCAAATAGTGAAAGAAGGACAAAGATAAAATTAATTGGAAAATTGACCATTAGTGCCATCTTTTGAACTGCAACAACATTTACCTATCAAATTTCAAGAGATGGCGCTAACTCTCAATTTTGATTCATTCTACCTTACCTGTTCAGAATCATACATCAGCCAAAAATATACATGTTTATAAATATTCATGTATTTAATTATATTATAAAAAAAATTAATAAACTTTCAATTTCTATATTTTTTGATAATACTTAATTATCTTTTTTCCAAATAATTCTACTTAACCTAATTAATCGATTAATTTTACTTTTAAAAATTTCATTTTTCTTTTGAAAATAATTCTACGAATTTTTCGAAAAACAATTTATCGTTTTCATGAATATTTGTATTTATTCTTTAAAAAATATGATGAAAAAAGAATTAATATTTTACTCAATAATCAATTTACATCTTACAAATCTGCAATTTCGACAATATTTATATAATTACTTTTCTGAACTTTCTTACAAGAAATATGATTGTTTTCGAATAAGACACAAATATTTATTGATTCATTTAACTCTTATTCTACTCTATTAATACATTAATAATTCATCGCGTGGTTATAATTTATCAACAAAAGATAATGAAATTAATATAAACTTTAAGTCGATATAACAGTGAAAAAAAAATATTTATAAAATAATTGCTATACATTTCATTTATATCTAATCAGTATTTTTACATCCCAAATAAAGTTTTTTTATTACAGCATTCTTCGAATAATGCTGATATCAATATTTTTTAATCTTTTTCTATCCATCTTATATTATTTATACTATTTGCTTACATTTGGATACCAACGGATAGTTATTGTTAATAATCTAATAGACAATATATCACATTAGTCAAAAATTAACACAAAAATGTTACAAATGTTACAATAAATTCTAAAAAAAATCCTAAATCGCGTGCGCAGCCAATTAGCTCATATTATTTTCTATATAATTTATAATCATATCCATGATACAATTATGAACAATATAGTAAATAATAATGATTTTCCAGGTCTCACCGCGTGGAGGTTGCTGCGAATTGGAGACCCTCCCTATCCACGATCCCATCCACCCTCCTTCGCGGAAAAAATTATTTAAAAACAATGATAAAATTTTCCTTTTGATGTAGCTTTGCAAAACGTTCGATTTTCGATCGTTGTGCAAAACAAACAGCAAAAAGAATTCTAAGAAAATCGACGCGACAAGCTAAACCTGAAAATAAAAATAAAATTGAATCTTAATCCAATATAACTCTATATGAGACACATAACTTAAATTACGTAAATCAACAATACTTCATTCATAAAAATATAATTATGAACTAAAATTCAAAAAAATGAAATGTATTTCACACAGAGTTATTATATTAACCACCACCATGTTTAACATCAAAACTACAACCATTTATTAAGCATGCACATGCAAATAAATTCTACTTTAAGCAATATTTCTACAGCAGTTCAGTACAAGCCATCTACTACTTATATTCTACTTATATATAATAAACCAATAAAATTTTTC